GGTCATCAACATACATCGGTTTCTGTAGCTGCAGAGTCTAATAATAAAACACAGGCCAGCCTGTAAAGATTTCAGAGGTAAATGCTCATCTAGCGTGCCACTCTACCCAGCATTGTGCAGTGCATATTTATTATGCAATTACTCTAAAAAGCACAATCTAGATAAACCTTAATTAGGGGAACAATGCTAGGAAAAATGGTACCTATCAGACTGCCTCAGATTTGAGCTTCCACAAAGTTAAGAGACTAAAAAAAGACATTACATAATAAATTATTAGAAGCTGAGTTTTTTTTCTCGTCTCTACTGTGGGTCAACCTTATGTCTTTCACGTTCCAAATCCACCGCTTGCAACACTGCTTGTCAGCTCCAAGACCACACTGTGAGAAGACAGCATACAACAATCTTAACAGCCAAAGTAACACATCAAGGTTTATTTATGTGTGCAAAGTTAAGCTGGTCAGGACACAAAGTGGAAAAAGTACTACATACGCGACATTTTTTCCCTTTTAAACCTTACATAATGGAACCACAGTCTTGCAGTTTTCCTCTTTGAGCTCCGCACAGAGGAACTACTTAAATTAGTCTGCGTTTGTTTTTAGCACACACTTGCTAGAGGCCTGTGCCAGACGAGAATCCTGCAAGTGAAAAATAGCAGCATTCATCACTGAGGCCTGTTGTGCATTAACAGCAATTAATATGAGCACATAAATATTCAAAGATCACTTTCATTTTACTCATTTCACTTGTTTCACACCCAGGTTGTCAAAATGTGTACGGAATAGTCTAATTTGATGCATAGGCCGGTAGGCTGCTTTCTGAATAGCATATTGCAGCATACGCCCACCCCCACCAATCCCCTCAAGAGATTTGAAATCGCAGGGTGCTTACTTGACATCCCATCATTTGGCGGATCACTAACAAGTAGGCCATAAACCTTTTTTCTCCCTTTGATTACACTAAGTGCGCAGAGGCCAGATGCGACCCAGCCCAGTCATCTGTTGGCTTGCCAGCAGAGTCACTGTAGACTGGCAGAGGCAGGAGGAGGAGGGGGGGTCACTTGGGGTCCCCTCCCTTCAGGAATAAAGCCATTGTTCTTCATTAGAGCTGGAGAGGCTGCTGGAGGGTACAGACGGTGAACAAGTCCATTTACACACCTGTTTTCCAGCAGTATGGCTTCTACCAGCTTGACTCTGAGCCAAACCACACTGTATGATTCATTTGTGCGTGATGCAGCTTTTCTTTGTAACTGAAACAGACCGTAGCCAGTTGGAGGTAATAACACACATGACAAATTTTGTACAAAAAGTTTGGGGTTTTTTAAAGAAATAATTAAATTGTTCGGTGAAGTAATTCTGTCTAGGCTGTAAAAGCAGGTAGGGCTTGGGCTAAGTGCATCACGTTGAGCATCTATAATGAAACTCTGCAGTCATCCCAGCACCAGTACAGCTCCTCGTTTTGTTTTTAAACGGTGAAGGTGATCATGAGTTTTTTTGTTTGTAGAGCTAATGCTAGTCATCGATTCAACATATCCACCAATAAAATACGATTTTATTCTTTTGCACGTCTTAACTTTTGGACCAAAATACCCAAAACACTTATTAGTGCATCGAGCCTACTCAAGGTTAACAGAGACACGCTTGACTGCTAATCACAACGCTTAGGTTAGCGCAGCAACTGCTAGAAAGATGTAAACTTCAGTGTTAATCATGCAACAGCTTCTCACTTTGTGCCTTCAGGTCAATCTAAAGTGGAGACAACAATGCAAATGCTTTTCTAACGCGACCAATAAATCTTTTGTAAGGAGCACAACAGGTTCAGTGGCAGGGTGCACGGAGATAACATCTTAAATGAGCTGTCAAATGAAAGACATCCCAGGTTTAGGTTGTATTCAAATCCACACTACAGCCTAAAACTACTGAAATGAGATTCTTTTTCAGCTACACTATTGAGTATTAGAGAATCCCACTAAACTACACCCTTGCTATTTCATTTATTATCCCTGATATTCGTTTACAGTTTGGAATAACCTGTCAAGTATCACATTAGGGCAGTAAATCATTTGGATTTTTGATACAGTATGCTAAAAAAGACCTTTTAAGTTAAGCATAAAATATTTATTCTACCTTGTGTTTCGCTATGACAAAGCAGCAAGCCACAACCTAATCTCCTCCTGTCAGTTTTCCATCAGCAGTTAGTGAGACTGAACCTTTAAAAACAGACACGACTAATGCTCTTATCCTAACATAATCATTACCCAAGCCTGAACATGTGGTGACATTCAAGAGAAGTCATGTTAACAAGCATTTTTCCTGCATTCAAACACATACCAGTCCCCGCTCTCACCTGCGCTACGACACAGTTGCATAACTTTGCAAATATGAAAACAGTGACACGTCTCACTATAAGTGAAGGATTGCCTAACCACGTTTTCAAGTCTCAGCAGGCTTACGGTCAGGGTGTGCTGCGTCTGCGCTCTTTAATAAACACCTGTAAAGCACCGTTCCCGGGTGTTCTAAACCTGTAATCTGCACTACAACTGGCCTTACTAAACACTTCTGTGCAGAATCACAAAGGAACTGTATAAATGCAGAGAAATGGAAAAATGCATAAATTACAGCAGGATACAACATGTGCATCTGCTTGGAACTGTTAATTACTACAGGACTGCATGATTATCGCTGATGTTTCACTCAGTATACGCATTATAGTAAAATAACACCTTTCTCACTTTCCTGAAAGCAGTGGAAAGCGATAAAATACTCAGCGCCTATTATCTTCTAAAAAAGTACCATTAAATTAAAAAAGAAAATCCACTTATATGAACAGCAAAGAATTTGGATAAATACTATGAGCACAACTTAAAAATGATGCCTACTAAATATCTGTTTACTGTTTGATTCCCCTGAAATAACTTATTCCGACTAAAGTTATAACTTTTATTTATTTCACAGGACGAAAAGCTATCTCTGGAAGTACATTGGTTTGCCAAGAAAACAAGAAATGATGTGAGAGTGGAGCACAGAGATTGGTACCATCTTCTAAATCTTTTCTTATAGAACAAGAGGTGATTTCCCAGCAGTCTGAGTCCAACCTGTGTAACACCATAAAACTTGAAATGAATTGATGCAGCCTTCTATTAGCCTTTTATTAGACTGTCTACATTGTAGAAATCACCACTCTTTAATGCTTAACCACAATGAGAGCTTACAGTATTCTGCTCGGGGTAAATAATTGATATGCTTTGTGCAAGTGCGCCCTGAGCTTTGTTTGAAATCACTGGAGCCATTTTCATGAAGGTAACAGCACTGCCCACTGTCCAGCAAAGGACAGCAACAGCCTTGTTTGCTTTGTTGTTTGCTTTTTACTGACTTGAGAAAGCAAAAAAACATTGATTCATTTAAAAAATGGGTTAAAAAAACAAAGAGTAGATTAAGCCTTGCGGATAATCCACAATGTGACAAACGAGGACATCTGCACTCCCGTCATTTTCACCCCCACCCCGAGGCTCGGCACTCAGCATAAAAAGGGGTTATGATCTGCAGACGAACAGCTTCGCACTAACTTTAAGTTAGTAATGATTCATTACATAATTGGCTTGATGTAAATACATTACTACCGCCGGTGGTGGAAGCGGCAAAGCAAGTGCTTTCACCACAGCTTCAGCGTATCACTGTCCAAGGATAAATAACCCCCGAAACGGAGCGCGTATTTCCCAGTAGCTCACGACAACCCCCCCCCCTCCAGTTTTCAACGCGGACTTCGTGCTGGCAACAAACAGCCCCAGCACTTTATCTCTTCTTACTAAATAAACGTCCGTGCTTTCCTTTACGCGCTCAACATCACCAAGCGTTCAAGAAAGAAAGAAGGAAAGAAATCGTGTCGCAGTTTTCGCCCGGCTTTATCTGTATCCTATCCGCTTCTTTAAAGCTTCTGACTCAGATTACTACACCCGGACGAAAAGCTTTGATGTTTTCATGCATGGCTCCACAGCAAATCCAGTCCCGGTGTTATGAAAACACAGCCCAGAGCGCGACTGCGAACTCGGTGAAATTAATCTTTCCTTGTTTGCCATTAACAGTTTACGCGCATTAGGCGGTGATTTGAGATATCGCCTGGACTCCTCCGACACCGCTTTTCAGTTCGGCGTTCAGCTAAAATACACGAGCGGCACTTGTTTCTTTGAAAAGACAACTTTTATAACGGGTTAGGCGCTCTCCACACCACATCCAGCGGGATGGCCGAGAGTGAACAGATTCGGAAAAATAGAGATTAAACGCGGGTGGAGAGAGGAAAAAACTGCTGATTCGTGTGAGGCCGTTGTGCTGAATTTTCCATAAAGTCCCGCTGTTATTAATATGCGGAGAGTCACGTTTTAATACATGATAATTCTTGTTTCTTCCCATTAAATGAACAGTTTTGAGCAGTTTGCGCTTTCTTTTCCTCCGATTGCACGTTGTCGGGGCTGCAGCTATTCCACTTGAACGCACCGCTGTTTTCTGTGGTTTACAGCGTTCCGAACACGCTACACAAGTAAACCAAAGCTAGCGCACTGCATAAGCAACCCTCAGTTTAAGCATGCCACATATACATCCTTATATCCCTCAAGCGACCAAAACACCACGCCATTTGTTTTCTCACATCAGCATTTATTTTATTTTTTTTTAAACCCAAGAGTTGCCAGCTGTGTAGCCATTCAGCCTATACCCTAATGGTGAGCTGACCAAAGTGATGCATTCCAGGGGCAACGCATCTGTAACGCCGGTTCCGATGTATCCACGCGCGCATCGGCTTCTTTCCTCACAGTAATTCAACTTTACGGGGAGGTTTTGTTACTTCTTGCTCAACAGCATCACAGTACAACTGCACAGTAACGTCCGAATGCTCTCAAAAGCACAAATTGCCCAGAACGCTGTTCAAATTGCACTCGTTCACATCTACATCCACGGAAATCTAAGAACAAAGTGCCACTTCCATTTAGACACCCGCGGGAAAAGTCCTACCTTTGTGAAGAGCCGCCGAAGACATGAATAAAAAGAGAATAGTCGCGAGAGAGCCGCTGCGAGCGTTCGCCATGTTGGACACCTGCTTCAGTATGGCAGAGATAGAGGCAGCTTCACCTATAGCTGCTACAACGGGACTCACTTAATGAGATGCGAGAAAGGGAGGGTACTATTTACCATATTCATTTATTACCAGTGTTGATAAATACTGTTATTTGTAATGGACGCGCCTCACAGCCTATTGAATAGCTCTCAGAATATGCTATTGGAGGGCGGGAAAGTGTTTTTAACGCTGTGTTCTGCTGCAGGGTTGGTTAGGAGGTGTCTGTGTGTGGTGTTAGTAGCTTGGCGTTAGTCTCTTTTGTAGAGTTTTTCTTTTGTATTTTGAACATTTGAAAACTATACTAATCATTTCACCCACTTGTATGTAATGCTTCAAAAGAGCAGGGATGGTCATACTATTTTTGAGGTCCTAAGGCCCCCAGCCCCCCTCCCTGTATATAAAATTAAAATGTATTAATTTCTGGAACACTGTCTTGAAGGCTCAAGTTTGGCATTTTGGCTGGCACAAGCTTAGTTAGTGCTGCAGTTAGAAGTTACAATTTTGCACTCCCAGATCACTTTAATTACTTTTTTGATAAATGAGGTTTGTAGATAACTAAGTTAATATATGAAAGGAAATACTAAACAAGCTTACCACAAGTGATTTCCTTTTGGCAGCTGCACTTCTACGTCAGTAAGTTGTGTTAATTTCTGAAAATAATCAGTCTACACAAAACTGAGATCATTAAAAATAAATTAAACAAATAATTAAAAGTTGAGCAAAAGCATATGGGACTATCATAAACAATATAATAGATGTATCTCCCAGATTAGAAAAGTGAGGCTAATGTGCCCTCGTTTTAAAAGCCACCAGGGGGCAGTACGCGTTGTTGCAAAAAGACCCTTGAAAATAACTTTTTGAGTTGAACTGTATAAGTGCTCTGCCAGTCATTTTGGGTTGAATTGAATAAATATTTAAGTACATTTTGTAAATGTTGGTCATATTTTGTTTCTTAAAGAAGGATTATTTAAGGTATATTTACTGGTTAACATTTTGGGATTGAAAAGTCATTAGCCAATGAGCCTGTGGTTTGACATTATACTAAATTAATGATAAAATACTGAGCTACAGCTTGCAAGCATGCCAGATGAAATCAAAAACTGAAGTCCAGGAGATTCTTCTTTGCACCAGAGTGCAAACATGTTTGTTTATGTCTGTTTTGAAGTATGTGGTGTTTTAACACTTGTGTATAGTACAGTATCTTATTTAATTCTGACAAAGCCAATGAAATCTATTGATCACGTTTCATCTCATCACTTTTGAACAAAGCCTTGAACTCTTTCACTTCTTTCACCCATTGTGAAGTCTCACATTCCAGAGCAGAATGAAATCATCTGCAGAAAGTAATGATGCAATCCTGGAGCCACCATAGTAGACACTCCTTGAGATTCTGTCATGAAAATCAGAAAAAGAAAGAAAGAAAAAAAGCTGGTGACATTTTCCTACCAGAGCCGAACCTCAAACCTTTTACTATCCCACAGAATAAGCAAGGGAAAAGTGATTTGACATTTCACAAAATGCAGTAAAGCTCTGCTGTTTTGCTGTGATTTAAATTGTTTAAAATTTTAAATTTAGTTTGATATAATGTTCTGGTTAGCAATTTTGCCTCATAGCAACAAAGATTTGGGTTTCAGCTTGCGGACCAATTAGGGCCTTTCTCTGTGTATCTTGAACACATTCAAAAACCTGTATAAATTTTCTGATTTTAACTTGTCTAGTGGAATATATATCAATACACTTTATTTATAACCTTTGTTTGTAACTGTGTTAAGAAAAAAAAACTTAACACGGTTACAATATGCTTAACTTTAATATAAAATAATCCAAAGCAATGAAAACATCCAAGAGATGTAGAGTTTGAAGCTTTCCTTGGGTTGAACTAAACCCAGTCACCAACTTACATGTAGGCTAACAAGTAGTTAATAAGTTTTTGATGTAAGTGAAAAGCCTAATTGCTTTGTTGGTACAGTGGGTGCTACAGTAATAGTTTTTAATTAAAAAAGATCACTGGAAAAAATATTTTTCACCACAACATTAAAACAGAGATCACCATAAAAAAGACAAAGATTTCTATCAAGTTGTTTAACAGTTATGGTCAATAACTAAGTCAGTGACTAAGACATCTAAGTTATTTAGTTTAGGAAGGCTGGCTACAGTCAACATCTGTGGAACAGGTAAACAGATAGGGTTAGTTTAGAGTGGGCCGAATAACCTGTTTGAGAGGAAACATGTATTGTATACTGTAATTACAAGTGGGTTAATGATAGAGCCTTGGGGAACACCAAAACTGAATTAGACAGAAACAGACATTTTCTATAGTAACTGGAAATGTTGTGTTTGTGAGATATGGATGTAATACATGTAGGACAGTTCCCTTAACAACAACACAGGTTCATAAGTGGTTAAGGGAAATGGAACGACTGATCCTATTAGAAGCAATTCTCAGATCTAAAAGCACTAGGGGTGTGTAGCTACGTCTGTCAGTGGTTAAAAGTAGGTCATACAGAGAGATGTCTCTGTGTTGTGGTGAGATTCTAAGCCTAACTGTAAACTCTTAAAAATACCATTACTGTTCTTAAAAAACATGAACTGACTTGACTTTCTCCAGCAGGTACTTAGATAATTGGTCTGTGGTTGTTGAGTAATAAAGAACCAGTAAATCAGCAAAATAAAGAGATATTAAGAATTATAGAATAAACTAATTATCCGAGGTGGCATTTAAGCCTCGGCTAAATTATTTCTTTTTAGAAACTATTTTAAATAGTTCTGAATAGTTAATCATTTATAACTGGGAAAGCAAAGCAGTAATATTAGCTAACTTGATTTGTGAATTAGGTGCAATTTGAGACCAAAGGGTAAAAAATTGCTCTTTCCTATCACACTGTGAGACGAGATCATTAAAAAAATACGTCTACCATTGAGAGGACTGACTGAGCCTGGCCCTTTGAATGATATTTGATATTGTGTCAAACAAATATGCAAATCTTTATCTTTTACCACTTTCATGGACAATCGTGTCTGAAGTCAGTTTCCATTTCGGCTCCAATAATATGACCATTTACAAGTTCTGCATTTCAGTGGAGCAATACAAAGAATTGAGACACAGTATATGTCAAAAGAGGGCAAAATTCAACATTTAATGGTGGTGTTGACCAATTAGAAAGGAGTCTGGATGCAGAGACATAATTAAAAATGAAGCGCACTTTGACAGGATGATGTCCTAAATGGCGCTTTAAAAATGGCAGCTCTGTGATCTAACACAAAGAAATCTATCAAAGTTGGCCAATCATAACCCAGAAGAAAAAAATCAGTGGACCTGTTTTACCTGTGTGTAGAACTCAGTGTGGGGGGAGCAGCACAATGGACTATAAAATAAAATTAAAAAAGAAGGAAACGGGACCCTAAGACATCTCCTATAAATGTCTAACAGGCAGGTGGAAATGTGTTTCTGCAAAGTTGGCTGAGTCTACCGAGGTCAGCCATGTCTCAGTTACTATAAATAAGAATGTGCAAATATTTTAAGAAAATCAGATCATTAATTAATAATGATGTGACCTTGAATTCAGAAGGTCATTTTTCTTTTAGTTTCTTAGATCTACCAGCGGATATAACAATGGCACAATAAAGGTTACAAGTATTAGCTTACCCCCAAGGCCACATGGGATAGTATGACTTTTTGTTGCAGATGAGTAAGAAAGTACAGGCAGGATATGACTGGAAAAGTAAGCAAAATTATGTCTTTGTCCTATTATAAGCGGAAGTATTCGAATAGGGAACCCTGATCCACAGTAGTAGCAGCAAGTAGTAAAGCATGAGAAACCTCACAGCAGCGGATGAGACTACAGGGGATTGTGGAGGAGTGCCTATTTAGGATTGTAATACCTTGCTCTTTTCATCACAAACAATGGCACATAGGACACAAGAAGTTAAACTTGTTTCTTTTCTTAACATTTCTGAAACTGGCTCCCAAACCACAGCGGGACCACAGATTAAATTAAGACTATTTACTTACTGCCGTTCGGCTATGAGTGCTACTTAACTTTAATACTCATTATGAAATCTCAAAATTGAACAGCACTTCATGTTTAAAAAAAATAATAAATAAATCCTCCACTGCAGGAGATTGCAACACCTCAACCTCAAAACAGTCTATCTTGATGGCATGTTTCCGAAATTACATATGGCAGCTTCAGTCGATGACTGCAGTACAAGGTTTCAGTCACACAGACCAAGAGACTGGTTGGTGACCCCTTGATAACAATCGCTAACTTGTTCACAAGTATTCACCATTTATTCCTCCAGCTGGAGTGAAACTTTGAAAAATTTGAATTGAAGAATATACCTTAAGTGACGGTTGCGCCTCACCAACACATTGCCAAGAATAAAGGTACAAATTTCACTTTGTATCGTGGTTAAAATACCGGTTGTCTTGTTGTTTGGGAGGTGTTTGCAGACAAGTTGGCATCTTCATGCAAAGTAATGGCAACTGTAGCTATTGTTAGGTATCAAAGCAATTGCAAGGAATGCATTTCCATTCTATTTCAAAGTGACTAGAAACAGTCTTCAGCAGCCACTCACCAACTAGTTGGAGAATGTACATTTTTCCATTGTGATGATTCCCAAATGGTCACCCACAGTTCTCCAGGCTTATGTGGCAGGGCCTAATCTTTGAATGTTTTGTCATGCTATCTTGATATACATGTGTGTAGGTAGGCAACATGACGTACTGTATTCAGTATCTTAAAATATTTAACCTAACGACTTTTGAATATGTACAAATTGTGCCTGCATTATGTTTATGTAACCTATTTCATGTGGCTGCTTTTATTATTGCTGACTTTTCAGATGCCCTTTTTTGCCCTGTTAAAAGAAGAACTACAATGCCAGTTGTTCAGTGAGTTAAATATTTATATAGTATAGTAAAAATATATCATTTTGACTATATAATAAATGTCTTATCTGTTAGAACTCTTCTAAACTATGATATTACAAGCTAAATTTACAGTTTGAAGTAAAAAATAAAGTGTCTCATTAAAGGTTTTGTCATGGTTTTAGGCCACCATGTGCTGCTGGAACTGTTTCAGTGTGCCATGGCATTGATTTTATAAGTGTCTGGAACTGGAGGATATTGAAAGGATA